TGAATAGTAATAACTTTTTGACTTTTTGGTTTTTTTTCCCAACTTGCCAAACTTGGCCTTAATATGTAGTGTCACGTACGTTTCCGTTTCCCTCCCAAATTTGGAACAAAAACCAAAGTCGGCAGACAGCGCTTTTGAAATCCCACAGACGCAGTACTTTTCATGATGACATACATGCCGTAGCCTTTCTAATCTCACCAACTCATTTCCATTTCCCATACAAATTTCGGCTACTTTGCTGTCCCTTCTTCTCTCTCCATTTCGGTTTTGCTGTCCACCTCCAGTAACACACTCTCTCTCTGTGTCTCCATTTCGACTGCGCCAGGTCGCCGACGGTAACAGTCACCATTTTCTCCGGCATGTGTGAGTCTGTCTATTTTTTATTTCGGAGCACATTATTATTATGACCTACTGTGTTCCACTCGCACGACATTACCATTTATGAACTATGAAACTGTTCCTCCTTAGGTAATTGAAACCATACGTACGATTAGGTATACAAACTACACGGGTGACAAATTGATATTGCCATTGAGGAGTTCCAAACTGACAGACGGTCTTCGTTGAGCAGTGTAGTCGGGTTTTTATTTCTCTGCATGAAGGTAAGTTGCGTATGGGTGCTGTTGGGTTGAATGTCCGATGTGGCCCTGTTTCAAGTGTGCGCATTGGTTGTTGATTCGGGCTTCAAGTCGTAAATACTATAAAACGAGTACAACATATGGCCAATTAATTTTCGTAAAACAGTGGCATGCCATATCTGCATAAATTAACGACAACATATCGTAGTTGAAAATAAACGAAAAGTACCACTCGTACAATGCACGTACGACTCAATGGTCCGTTGATTGTAAGTTGTTAACAGTCAATTTCGTTTTGTTACAATGTGGGAGTAACGTTCTTTCTGCATCCTTATGAATATTGCATGCAATTCTTTGCAGGAATTATCGTAATTGGATATGGGCGACATGTCAGACAATGCGAAGCAACTGTGGCGCGAGGCAACTCAGTATTTGATACAGTTAGGTTTGCAAGGTTATGTTTCCTGTACCTACTAAATACCACGGTCTGTTCGTGTATGGTATATTGTGCCGTTATGTACTGCCATCAGGAGGTTGTGCGATTGGGACGTGGGAGAGGCACTTACCCTTGGTAGAGTTTGCCTACAACAACAGTTTTCAGTCTAGCATTGGTATGGCACCGTTTGAGGCCTTGTATGGCCGACCGTGTAGGTCTCCAGTTTGTTGGGCCGAGGTGGGTGATGCACCTTTGTTGGGTCCGGAGTTGGTTAGGGAGACGACGGAGAAAGTTGAGCTTATCCGTAGGCGGCTTATTACAGCCCAGAGTCGCCAAAAGAGTTATGCTGACTGTAGGAGGAGGCCTTTGGCGTTTGAGATAGGTGATCAGGTCTTCTTGAAAATATCACCTAGGCAAGGTTTGATGAGGTTTGGGAAGAGTGGGAAGTTATCCCCTCGGTTTATTGGTCCCTTTGAGATCCTTGAGAGGATTGGGGAAGTTGCTTATCGTTTAGCGTTGCCACCACAGTTGTCCGGAGTTCATGACGTGTTTCATGTGAGTATGCTTCGGAAGTACGAGCTGGATCCATCCCATGTGTTAGATTGGACCGACTTAGAGGTAGACGAGGACGCCTCGTATGAGGAGAGACCGGTTCGGGTCTTGGATAGGCGGGATCAAGTCTTGCGAGGCAAGACCATTCCTTTGGTAAAGGTTTTGTGGAAACATCACGGGGTGGAGGAAGCCACTTGGGAACGTGAGTTGGAAGTCCGCGAGAAATATCCGGACTTGTTTATTGATGAGTAATCTTGTATTTAGATTTTTGTAATATTGCTGGACTTAAGAGCTTTATATATGTCTTAAGTTGTAAAACATTGGTAATGTTTTGGTTTAATGGAAGTATGTTGTAGAACTTACCTTGATATGGGAGTTGATTATAATATTGCATATGTTGGCTATATTATAAAATTGGAGTTGTATCATGTCTATTGATTATGATATGAACTGTGAACCATGTATGTTGAAAATGGTTGGAAATGGAAGAAAATTGCATGTTGATAATGCTCTTGTAATATATGTTGTGAAATGCCTCTTGAAAAGAGATGGAATTGACCGGTAATGGGTCGGAATGTTTAATATTGGGTTGAAATGTTGTTAGAAATGGAGAAAACCTGTTTTTGAAAAACTTGTGTTTAATTTCGGGGACGAAATTCTTTAAGGGGGGAAGGTTATAACGATCCCGGTTTCCCTTTTCTTTAACTGTTGTGTCCGGACTTGGGTTCCGTGGAGTTGGTTGTTGTATTTGTCTTGGTTACATCCTTTACTCCTTGCATTCGAGTCTTGGGTTATATTGGGCGAGTTTGAAGCAGGTTGGTTGAACTTAGAAACCAAGAGTAGTTGCCCAGATTTTGGCCTTCACGCTCGAGCGGGGATTCTGACGCTTGAGCGGGCCCTTTGTTGTTGTCTATCCGCTCGAGCGGGGTTTTCGACGCTCGAGCGTAGTTTTCCATCTTCCAGTTTCTCCTCTGCAGTGTTGTGCGCTCGAGCGGGAGTTTTGACGCTCGAGCGGGATGTTGTGTGTGACGCTCGAGCGGGGAGGTTTGACGCTCGAGCGGAGACCTGGTTCTGTAAAAGTTCTGGGAGTGTGTATCCGCCGCTCGAGCGGGATTGTTGACGCTCGAGCGGGAGTCTGTGAGTGACGCTCGAGCGGGGAGTTTGACGCTCGAGCGGGGCGACTTTTATATAAGTCCGAGATCCGACTTTTGGATCACTTTTTCAACTCCTTTTCTCTCTCTTACTTTTCAAAATCTCCATTTGAGAGCTCCTCTCACTAGAACCTTAACTTCTCTCTAGATATTGATCTAGCTAGGGTGTATTCCTCACCTTTGGTCTTTACAAAAGTTGGGTTGATCGTAGAGGGCTTTGCATTGATCTGAAAATTTCGAGTTTTGGAGGACGTTGAGTTTCGTCATCTTCACCCCTTGAACTCCGAATTTGAGGTAGGGATATCCTACTCCTCTTTATGGGTTTTGTCTTTAAATTTTGGCATTTCGATATGTTGAGAGTTGTTGGGTAATTTTGAGGAAGTTTAGGCCTTTGTGTAATTTTACAAAAGTTGGGTTTTTAATCATTTAAAACCTAAATGCATGTTTGGCATGGAAAACTGAAATTAATGTTAAAACATTAATGAAAATGGAACCTAAGGGTTGTGATGTTAATTATGGAAAATGCCCTAATTACATTGGTTAATTAATTTGTATAATTAATTGTTGGAAATGAGGAATTGAATTGAGAATGTTGAAATCGGGAATGTATGGGACTAAAGAGTGTGGTTGGATCATTTATTGCTCACCTAATTGAAATGTCGATTTAATATCCATTTTGTGCATTTATTTTCTATTTAGAAATAACTGCTTTGGGCTATCGGTGGAGGATAGTCTTGATTGTTGTAGACAATGCATGATGATTAGGCAAACTAAAACTAATCGAGTGAATGTGTGATAGAGTATGACGGTGAATTGAATGCATTAATTCTATGTATTGATTGATTGTATATAGAACCCTTGTGTTTATATGCATTGTGTGTAGAGGAGGAGATGGGGGATGTACTCCGCGGTTTAGGGGAAGATGGGGGATGTACCTCTAAACCGGATAGGATTGGGAGGAGATGGGGGATGAACTGCGTAGACACAGCTCATATGCTTGTCTAGAGAAGTGAAGATACAGCTCATAGGCTTATCTTTGAGAAGTGTAGATACAGCTCATATGCTTGTCTAGTGAAGTGTAGATACAGCTCATATGCTTGTCTAGTGAAGTGTGGATACAGCTTATATGCTTATCTGTTGATGCGTAAGATGTTTATCTGTTGATGTGTTGATATAGCTAATATGCTTATCTATTAAATAAAGATAGAAAATGGAAAGTGACATAGACTCGTGTGTTATGAAATTGTGACGTGATATATGCGGATGTATCGGTGTTGGCCATCTATCAATTGCTAATCTTTTAGTCATTGCTCATAGTTGGTTTAGTATATCTCTGCTGGGCTGTGACTCACCTTATATGGGAACATCATTTTCAGGTACAGGTAGCATGCCACCTCCAAGGACGTAGCTTGGGAGGCTAGAGGTGGCAGACTTTTGTTGTCTTTTCCCTTTTGATGTATTACATGTATATTTAAGCCAAGGGCTTAATGTGTAAATGAGTTAGTACTCTTTTGTTGTAACCAAGTGTTAGCTTGGAAAGCTGTAAGCCTTTAGGGCATTTGTTTTTGTCGTTAACATGTAATACTTTTTGTAATGAAACTTTGATGAATAGAAGAATGTGGAGCTTTTATATATATCAATGTATGTCTATATTGATGGGTTTAATGTTATTATTTTGAGGGCGTTACAGAATGATTATTTTTGGTGAATAATAATTTAGCTACCCTTTATTTTTATAATTATTTTTAATCAATCAAACAGTGGAATGAATATTTTCACATTTTATTTTAGTGGACCAAACACTACTTTGATGCTCAAAATGCCTTTACTAATGTGTAATTTGACCTAAAGTCTCAATCATTTTGTTTGGTTTTGTTCATAGGATCAGGTTCTTATTTTTTTATTTTTTTATTTTATTTTTTTTAAGAAATAGAAATTAGATTGTCTAATGATTATTTTGGGTATTACTATTCTAGTTGAATTTTAGGCTTGGCTATTAAACGGAAAAGGTTGAATTCCTTACATGGATTAAGTTTATCCACTTTTACTTTTCAATTGGTTTTTACTTAATGAAAATGGGAAATTTCATCTTCTAAACTGTTGCTGCACTACTGTGATTGATGTTTAAGAATCACTTTTTCACTATGTGATATTTGTGGTGTGTATAAAATTAATTAGTAGTTTTTTTTTCCCCTTTTACAAAATACTTTCATATATTTGTATCTCATATAAAAAATATTACTTGACTTGGCTTTGTTCTTTCGTTTTTGCAGGTGGAACTCTTTTCTAAGGATTTAGTAATTGAAGTTGCCAACCAACAATGTGTGCAGAGGTAACTTTCAAACAAGTGTTTTTTTTTTCTAATTTATTTATTTTGGGTACACATTTTTAACCAATTATTGGCTCCCTTGTTTTTATTTTTTTCATGTGTCATAAAGAGTTCTAAAAATGCAGCAAAAAGACGTAGAAAAGAGCAAGAAGCTATAGTTGCTGCCACAATGGACAATAGAAGTGATGGACCCATTAGAATTTCAGATTTAGGTTCCAATACTCGACAAACTAAATCACCAACTGCAAATGGAGTAGCTGACTCTAGTCAACAACTAAAGAAGAAAACTAGGGGGCCGTCAAAGTTAAAGATGCATGACAAAGGCAAACAAAAGTGTGATGAGATCGACTTCAAGGAAAGGAACCAACCGATAGGACAAGAATCAGTGCACTTATCAACCTTAGAAGGGGTCTTAGCTTGGAAGATGGTGCCAATTAATATAGATTATTGGTTTGAAGTTCCAAATGAGATTAAGGATAAGTTATGGGCTTGTGTGAAGGTAGTATGTTTATGCAGTTAATTTTTATACAACAATTCATTATTTTCCCCCTCTTGTAATACTAAATATTTGGTTATATGAAAATACAGCTTAAATACAAAGTACATGATATCCACAAGACACGTGTGATGCAAAAGTTTGCAAAATTGTGGCGCAATTACAAGTCTGAACTATCAAGAAAAGTAAGAACTCTCGCTGCAGCAGGTAAAGGTCATTTAGCACGGAATATTGCCCTCACCAAACCTGATAAGATTGGAATGGATGAATGGAAGGCATTTGTGAAAAATAGACTTTCAAAAGCTTCATTGTAAGTGTTTTTTCATAACAGTTTTATGTAGAAGCTCATTTCTTTTCATAACAATTAAGATAAAGATTACAAATTCTTAAAAAATGTGGGCATTTCAAATGTTTACACTCAGGAAAAGAGTGAAAAATTCAAAGAGATGAGAGCAAAGCAGAAGGTGTTACACACGATGAGTAGAAAAGGCTATGCACGACTAGAGGAAGACATGGTAAGTTTGGCAATATAGACGACATTTATTTCGAAAGGATTTTGATTTTGTTGCTTCTAATTTTGTACTATGTTTTAATTTTTTTTAATTTTTTATTTCTTTTCCAGAAAAATCAAAGCCAAGACCCAGATTCCATATCTAGAGTGGATGTTTGGATCAAAGGACATACAAGGCAGAAGGGGAAACCTATCAGTGAAGTGCTTAAGGAAGCAGTGGTATGAATTAGCTTAATATGTTATTAAAGCTTGTGATTTCATTCAATTCAATTGAAAGATTGTGGCTGCTACGTTACAACTGCTTTACAATTGAAAGATTGCTGTCTGCTGTGCTGTTTTGTTTTGGTATGGATGTTAAACAAATTGCTAGTTTGTTTTACTGTTTTTTTTTTTTTATATGTAGAGATCTAGTTTGTCTTAAACAAAACCTATGACGTTGTGCTTGTGATATTACTTCATTTTTTCAATTTGTTTGATAATTGCTTGTCTTATTGTGGTGAAGTAACTTAGAGGTGAGTTTTGTACCTATTTTTGTAGTTAGTAGAGTTGGTACGTCCTCTTCCTCTTTTCCTTCTTTGAATATAAGTACAAACTATGGATTTTGGGTTTTTGGATTTGATTAGAGAAAAAATATTAGTGTTGTTTTCTTGAGACTTGAGCTAAGCATTACCATCAGCGACATGCCGTAATTATGCTCAATAAAAGGAATGGGGATGGTGTTTCCTTTCAGTTTATGAAATAATTCATAGGTGAGTTGTGCACTTGTTTTTGTAGTTAGCAGACTTGGGTTCCTTATCATAAATGTTATATGTTGCAGAATAAGGTTCAAGAGCTTCACAAGCCTTCTACAAAAGAAGGGTCAATGTCTATCAATGATGATGCAATTGTTCAAGCATTTGGTCTAGAACGGCGTGGTAGTGCAAGAGGGCTTGGATTTGGAGCATTGCCATCGAAAGTTGATGCAGCATACCAAAATCAAAATATGAGACAACTAAATGGAAAATTGCTGCTATTAGAACAAGAACTCCGGGAGATAAAAGCTGAAATGTTAAAAGGAAAAAGGCAAAATGAGGTAAAAAAAAAAAATGAACAATGTCACAATATATGAGGTTAAATTTATCTTCCTATAAAATTTAATTGTTTTTTAACTTTGGTACTTCCCATCATAGATATAAGAATATTTCACAAAGTTTGTAAAAATAAAAAATTGATTAATACTTGCAGGAGCCAAGCAAAGGGGCAAATGGACACTCACATGGAGAAACTCAGGTAAACTTGCACATTTGTCATGCTTGTGCTTTTGCTTGCTTGCTTTGCTACTCAAGCTTGTCGTTTTGCATATGGATTACATTAAGATTCTAAATTTAAGTAAACAAATGCTTCTTGCCATTGTATTATGATTTTTTTAGGGAGGAAAACGGTAGAGATGAACATAGGGTGCGTGGACGTGGTGAATGTAGGATGCACTCACAACAAAATGTTTGGGTAAATTTTGTATGGCATTATTAATTAACTCATTTTCATTTTTCTCGTGCTTCTGCTTTTGTTTGCTTGCTTGCTTTTCTACTCAAGAGCTTTTGTCAAACTTTCATATACATCCCACATCGTCTACAAAATTTGGAAAAACAAATATAACTTGATATTGTATTACATTTTTTTTAGGGTGACAAAAACAATGAAGACGATGAAGATATTTGGGTAAATTTTATATGGCATTAATAATAACTTTAATTTTATCTTCAATTCATTAGCTTATCTTATGTGTTGCTTTCATGGTAGTTGCATGACGCAAACGAAACTGGAAATGGTGGATCCTTGGACAATGCCAAATGCAAATTGTTGAATTGGGATGGAATAAAGGTGGTGGTTGCGGAAGGCACAATTGCATCAACAGATTCTAAAGCATTGGTACATCACGTGCCTCTTGGCCCTGGGTGTTGGAAAGTATGGGTTAACCATGTCATAGTCAATGCGCCATTGTTTCGCCCTAATCGTGAGATGTTTGTGCTTGAAGATGCTATTGGAAGCACTGTTGCTTGGCCAACCCATTTCATTAGCTTTGATTTTGAGTAGAACTAACATCTATGGATAGTTTTTGAAGACTTTGATGAATAGATTTCTATAATTTTTGAATCTTTTTGGGTAATGTTTACAAACTTATATATGTACAGTTTTGAATGGTTTATAACTTTTTGGATAATTTAGAACTTAAGGATAGTCCTTTTGGATGTTTTTGAACTTGCAGTTAGGTTTTGGATGTTTGGAATGAATATTTTGATAATTTTTTAATGTTTATAATTTATATATATAGTTTATTTTTTATGGTTGAAATAATGTTGTCGTGGTTGATTAATATATTGTGAAGCTTGTTTGTAATATTAGATTGTACAAAATAGGTCGTTAAATAGTTTTTAACGGCGTGCGAAGCATGTCATTGAAAGTGAACGACTTTCCATGACTGGTCATAATATGACGTGCCGTTGCACGTCGTAAAAGGGTTTTTACGGCATGCATTGCGCGTCGTAAAAACCCTTTTTTCTTGTAGTGTTTGTTAAAATGGCAGCATTCTTTCTTAAAGACAATTTTGCCTCCATGAATTTAATTATCCTCTCTTATTTATCCCTTATCACACTATAGTGGCAGCAGTAATGATGCATCTGCACTTGCAATAGAATGGATAGTAGTGCAGAATATTGCAACTTATAATGATGAAGATAGGGACAACTGAGTGGACATAGAGGGCTATAACAGGGTTGAAGCACATAGTTTGACTTGCTCATAGATTGTTTCTACATTTGCATGTGTATGTGTGTGGAGCTGAGCCAAGATTGCCTTCATTTCATTTTTCCTAATTTCTCTGTTGGACTAAATTTGTTTTCTGGATATGGTATAACAGTGAAGCTTCAAAGGTTTCATCTTTTACTAGCATAGCTATATGTTTATTTATACCCAAATCTTTTGGTGAATAACTTTGAGAATGAATTGAAACTTTAGTTGTTGTCTATAGAACCAAATTTGGGAACATCAATATGGACCCAGCTGTGGTTTTGACTGGAACAGCAAATGAACGGAGAGTCGGACACCATTTTGGTAGTGTTGAGATCGGTCGTAGCGAAAGTGCCTACATTTTTCGGGTTGCTTTACCTGGTGCTCGTTGCAATGGTTGTAAGCTTCCTGTCCTGCTTATTTATCAATGTGCATATATTGGTAAATGTGTGTTTGAAAACATATGGAGCATGCCTACTTCAATAAATATGCTGTATCCGTACCAGGTACTTACCGGTATATAGTACTTTGTATAGTATTTCTATATACATATTGTGTCACGCCCCCAAACCGCCCCTAGTAGTTTGGTGCCGTGATGGCCAGTAACCCGAGGTTACCGAAGGCCGTTTTACAAAAATCACACACAATCAGAGTATAAAATATGGGGCTTACAAGTGCGGAAGCAATATATATATATACATATACAAAATCTAAATAGTGAGAGCCGTGCATAAGTCCAATGGAATGTCATACATCAAACATCTTTACAAGTCTTACAATTTAGATACAGCAAGAATGAGAAACAAACACATCCTGACCAAAAGGCTTCTCAAGCCGACATATGCCAAAACAAACAAACAAAGAAAACATAGAGAAGCATAATCTTCAAGACGATGCAAAACGCAAATCCAAAACATGTCGGCTATACGCCCAAAACACATCGGCAATCACAATGATACACAAAATATTTTAAAAAATAAATATTACGTAGCATATATAAAAATTATACACAAAATGATAAATCATAAAAAACATCACCTCGGACCTTTGTGATTTGAGATTGTGTTTTCTTCAAGATCGAGTGAGTTGAGATCCTATTTATTCAAGATCGAGTGATTTCAGATCCTATTTTTTCAAGATCAAATTGAATGAATCAACTATAAATTTTGGTCGTTTAAAATGAATCAACTAGAAATCTTAACTATAAATCAATTGAAAAATTCAATCGTAGATAGTTACTAAGATCTGAATGCATCAAACCTCAATTAAATCTCGAAAACATTGAGAAATAGAAAAATAAATGTTGGAAATCAAGGATTTAGTGATAAGATTTTAGCAATTCCAAATTAATGGATAAAGATCACACGAGATTGATGCTTTGCTTCTATCGTTTAGGATTTGAAATCAAATGAGATAGAGAGGTGTTTAGGGTTTGAACAAATGCAAAGAAAACACTTATTTATAAGAAAGCCCTACAATACACACCCCTTTAAGTTGCATATCATATGCAACCCCACTAATAGCCATTGGATGTGTAACTTTTAATCCTGAACGTTGATAGATTTAACGGGTAAACAATGGGTACCTTCACAGCTAGTTAACTCTTATATTAGATTTCATTTCTCTCTCTCCCTTTCTCTCACCACTGTGCCTCTCTTGCTCTGCTTCATTCTCTCATCTCATCGTTACTCTCCGTTGATTGTTTCTCGTTCATCTCTTTCTCTAGCCACCGTTTCAACGAAGATGATACCAAGTAACAAGAGGTTTCGATGGCAAAGAGGTGTCGTTGAGATTAGATCCAACGGTTATTATATTATTTCATACTTAATATGATTTTTATAGGTACATTAAAGGATAATATTAATCATTGCGATATTATATTTTTGAAAAATGATAAAGAAAAATATATATAATTATTTTGACCAAAAAAAAAAATAGATTGAATTATTTTGTATGTGTTGTTTTAATTTCATGGTAGTTAAAAAAAATAAAAAATAAATAAATAAAAAAAGAAACTAGACAATTGGTTGATTGTGTCTAAATTACATTTGAACCACTAGTTGGTCGTGTCAAAATAAAATAACATAATTTTTGTAATATTTTATTTAATTTAATTTTTTTTTGGTTTGTGTAGAATATAAAAATGTATTTTTTGAAAAAACAAAGATGCTAATTTAATTGGATTGTGCCAAAATAGATACCATAATATATACATGCAACTCACTCCTTTATGGCTGATCATTGAGACACCCATATTACCTCTCTTTATCTTTTCTCATATGTTACAATCCACAAAGATGCCCAATCATTAGGTCACTCAAGTTGTCACTTAAGATCTACAAAGTTTTTAAAAATAATTCATATTAATGAAAGTCTCAATTGTGTCTCATATAAGTTGTTTGGCCAGGTTCTGAGCCATGGTTATAAATTGAGA